CGAGGTGCCGAGGTGCCTCGGCAGGCAGGGAGGCAGGCAGGCAGGCAGGGAGGCAGGGAGACAGGCAAAAGAGTCGCTCGTAATCGACCTGCTGGAGTAGTGGGGGCACAAGGTGGTCCGTGGCGCCACAGGCCGGCACACTAGGCGGACGTCCCCGGTTGCTGCTGAGACGACCTTGAGGTCGCGGCGGAGTATAACCGCTAGGCCCTGAAGGAGTCCAGCATCGCCAAGCCGGTGCCCACCCATCTCTTCGATGGCCGCGCCCGCAGTGGTCGCGCCCCACAGCCACAGAGGCTCATCAACGTGGCCACCTGGAACATCCTGGAGGGGCCAAGGCCGCAGTGCGCGAGACCGTGGACACCGCCCTCCTCGCCAAGGACGTCCACATAGCTGTCCTCCAGGAAACTAAGATTGCGCGGCAGGACCTCGACACGGACAACCACATCTGGTATGTGGAGGGCCACCTTGCAACTCCGCGGCGGTAGGGGCGGTTGGGGCGGGCGTGTGCGGGTGACCTCTCCTAGACTCAACTCTCGGCGGTACTGGTCATTGCGGCCAACGCGGTCCTCCGACCCCCCGACGGCGCGCGGCCGCGCAGCACATGGAGAAGGCCTTCTCCATGGCGCAACAGCGACGGGCGGCACAACAGCTCGTCCACAGCAGCCACCTGTTCATCGGGAAGAAGATGCTGCAGGTGCACGATCCACAACCGCACTGCGGGTGCTGCACATGGAGAACAACCACCTGCAGGAGCTGCGCGGCGAGGAGTTCGACCCGCTCAAGAACCTTAACGAGCTCTAACTGGACCACAACGCCATCACTAAGGTCGGTGACAAGACGTTCGCGGCCATGCGCGAGCTGGAGGTGTTGCGGCCCGACGACAACAAAATCGAAGACTTCAAGCCGTGGCAGCAGCTGGCGGCCGCGTCGGAGGGCGGCCGGGTGGCGCAGGTGTCACTCGACGACAACCTCTGGACGTGCGCCTGCGAGCACGTCCCCCAGATCGGAGCCTGGCTGCGCGACAACACCAACGTGGCCGTCAGCATGCGATGCGCCGGCTCTACCGAGATCCTGCAGCAGCGACGCCAGCCAAAACGTGGTGGCGACCAGCGTGGTGCAGCGCGGCACCGTCTACACCGCCCCGCTGCTCAACCACGCGTTCCAATCGTGGCTGCTACCCTGGCCGGCGTGGTCGTCGTCCTGCTGGTGCTGGCGCTCGTCTTCATCTTCCGCCACGACGTCCGCCTATGGGCGTACGCTCGTTACGGCGTGCACATCCTCCAGTGACCCGCCCTCGGCGGCCGAGGCGGGCGACGAGAAAGGCCGTATGTACGACGCGTACCTGCTGGTCTACTCGGTGAACGACGAGGACTTCGTGAGCGGCTAGGTCGTGGCGGCCGAGCTGGGGCAGAGCGGCTACTCGTTGTACCTGCGCTACAGCTCGTCCACAGCAGCCACCTGCTCATCGGGAAGAAGAAGCTGCAGGTGCACAACGCGACGATGGCTCCCTGGTGGCCGTTGTTCATGAGCGACCGGTGGGCCGTCGTGGCAGTCCTCGTGGTGCACACTGCGCTGGTGCGCGACGTGCACTCGCTGCGAATGTCGCTCTTGTGCGGCGGGGGACGCAGTCTTACTTTGGCGCACCACCCTGCGCGTCGCACAGTCGTCTCCACGCTCAGCCGCGTGCACGCTGCACGCCGGGCGGGGCGGCGCCCTGGTGAAGAACACCCTGGTCGTCGTCCCCACGCTCAGCCGCGAGGCCAAGGACCTGGGCAAAGTGGAGCTGCTGTGGCCGGGGCAGGCGACGACGGAGACGTGGACTGGACAGTGGACACCGTCATGCTCGTCGTGGACGTCGAGTGGGGAGACGCTCAGCGGCCACAACTTCGGCGGGGAGGTCCACGATTGACCACTTCCCCCAGCTACAGTCGCTGTTCATGGCTGTGCTGTGCCCTTGCTGCGGGTTTTGT